GAAACTACTCCTAGAACAACTTACTAACTGGACGCTGTGCAGCAACTGGACGGGATAGTTGGTTACGGGCGGAGACAGCGGGCGACTAACGGATGGATGGTCCACGATTTTTTATGGGGGGCATGTGCGCCTTGTCATGGTCTAACGCATTAGTGGGTCCACATGTTAGTTGCCAGAGAATAAATGTTTTTCTATAATATGCATTTTCCTCCCATTAATCTCCAAATTGACCCTAATACTAATAGCCCTTTTTAACAAATACAAAGAAAAAATTAAGATTGTGTTAATTTTTGGTGAAGCATTGTTAATGTTTACTTAAGGTCCATTTTTTAATAACTCCAATGAGATAATTCGATAATTAAAAATTTGAAACTTCAAATTAAACATTTAAAATTCGAACATTGAGTTGAATGAAAAAAGATTTGAAAATAAAAAAGAGTTATCCCTTTTATATTATAACCTATAATTAGATGCATCAAAAAAAATTCCATTTTTCAATGCAAAGTTTAATTAAGGTCTTTTTTTTAATAGTAAAAGCATATATTAATGGTGCAATTGATGTATCTTTGTATTATTATTAATTTTATTAAATAAAAATAAAATTTAAACTTTATATATTTAATTATGAGATTAGTGGATATCAAATTATAATCTTGTATTATAAAAAATTTTAAAATTATATCATTTTAATAAAACACTATAAGAAAAAATTAAAATAATTTTATTTTTGTTTTAAAAATTAAGAAATGTTTAATTCTTTATAAGATTTTATTAAAAAACATAATTTTAAAGTATTTTTCACTTAATTTGTTATAATATAAATTAATTCTCAGTTTTTTATTTAATTATTTATCTAATTAGTTAAAACATTTACTTACGTTAGTTTTAAAAATAATAATAGTTTTGGAGTAATTTTTAAGAATTAACTGTTTTGCATTCTCAAATTATTTTACAATTTATCTAATTTGCATTATCACCTGATTGTACGATAATTTTTTAAATTTTACAATACAAATTAAATAATAAAAGCGGTATATTAATTGTACCATCAACACAGAAAATAATAATGATAAACAAAATTAAAATTTAGGATTAAAATTTAATATTAATGATATGATATAAGTTATCTTATTTAAAATATTAAAGTATTTCTTTAATATATACCTTTATAATACAAGTTAAAAGATAGAATTAATATTTTTTTATAATTCATTTTCATGAAAGAATAAATGTTAATTTTAAATTAATTAATTAATTAAAATTATTTTATGTATCAATAATATTAAAATAAGTATTAATTTTTA